ATATTGATGGATGTGTATGCTTACAGTGGCTGATGCATGTCAGGGACGGTGTCATTTGGTGAAAGTTTGGCTTATAACCAAGCCGTGTTTACATATAACAGAATATCCTCAAATAATTGGTAGGTCTCCTTGCTAAAGAGGGATGTGTCAGGTTTGGCATCAGTGTGAAAGAAGCTCCCTAACTCACTTCACCTGATCCGTGGCCTGTAAAGATGCACCTGGCATTAAACAGACAGGGCAGGAGCGTCAACTGAACAATGGAGGACTGTCAGGACCGACAGCGGGGCACGGCTCTACCATCACTGCTCTGACAGGGAGGGCCTCAGAGGGTAAACTGCTTTGCTGGAACTAATTAAACAGATGAAGTTATGACATGAATATGCAGATGTTGTTTACATTTTACCATATGGTATTATTTCAGGTAATAACGCACAGGAGAGCCTTCCCACTCATTAATGTGAAGGGATGGAGTGAAAACACTGTCTATCAAGAGACACTCGGAGCGTGTTCGAGAAATATGATCAGACTGACACTCGGGTGTTGAAATCTATTTCAAGCCACTCAATTAACATACATGTTGATAGCTATTACAGTTTGATTTAAATTGTTAGCAGAGTAGATGTTAGACAGGCAATTCCTTATTGAAAGTAGAATTTATCAATTTTCTTTAAATCTATCTTAATGTGTCATATTTCTTCTAATTTAAAGTGTAAAATTAATTATCACAACATTGGCAGCATCTTGTTACCTAGTATGACAATATTTTACTATAACTAATCTACAGCCTAAATTCAATCGAGTCATTTGTGCAGTTAAATCATTTTTCAGAGCGGCTGTGTGTCTGTAGGTTCCCACTCAGAGATCCCGCAGTACACCTGCCATAAACCCAGTTTAATTCTCAATGCACAACCTGCATTTAACTCAACTTCTTTCTCTTTTTTTTTTTTTTTTTTTTTTTTGCAAAGTGTTAAAAGTAGTAGAACTGTCTGAGTTCTTCTTCCCCAGTTTTGTGTGCAGCCTTACCATTCCCCCGGAGCGGGTGCTGAGAGGTTAAGAGGGAAAGGGCCGATGGAGTCGCGTTTAGTAAGAAGTGTGGGATCATGGGGGCCAGCTGGTGGGGTGATGGGGAGCGTAATTGTGCCCGCTGTGTGGATAGGGTGGGGGGTGAAAGGATGGGGTGAGAAGCCCTGGAAAAAAGGGAGGGGAGGGGACACCTCAATTACCTGTGCTCCTTCTGACCCCTCTCTCCCTCTGTCTCTCCATGGACAGACCCACTGTCTGAGAGGCGGGGCGCATTTCCACAGGCAGATGCACATCCCCCTCCTTTGTTCAAGATAGCATTCGCTCTTTTTCCTGAGCTGCAGAAACTTAATTGCAACAATCTCCTCTCTAATGCGTTTCTCCTTTATTTGTCACTGTCATAAAATTTGAATTTTCTCTTCAAAAAAATAAAAACAATAATCAAAGCATTTTTTTTAGGTGTATTTATGTTTGATCGTGGAACTTGGTCAGGCGATATTAGATCAAAGATGTACAACAAAATAAAAAGCAAATTTACCTGAACTGAGCAGTTCTCTCAAACATGTTCAGCAGGTTACATGCAGCTGTCATAGTTTATTTTGGAGCTCCTGCTTGGGCTAATACAGTAAGTGACAGAGACTGGTGTAAAATCAATACTTCACAGGAGTGTGATGTCTTAATAAACTCTCTGTGTTGTTCAGACAGGAAAGCTAGACATGTACGAGGAGGACTACAGCGCAGGCCATTGTGAAGCTGTCAAGTCTAGCCCTCAAAAGCAGATGAAGCTGTCAGATTATTAATATGTTTATACTGACAGGCCCCAAGTCCACCCCTAAAACCCTCCCCTCTTTCAATGTCTCTCAAAAAATATGCTCAGCTTCAAAGACAGAGGCCATGGGGTTGGATGCAAGGTCAAAGGCCAAATACATTTTGAAAGCAAATTCTCTTCCTTTTGCAACCTGTTTTTATTGCTGTCGCTCCCCTTCTCTGTGGCGACCATTCAGCTGAAACTTAGGCTGAATTGGCAGCAGCTTTCAAAGCGCTTGGCAGCCTGGTGATCCTCAGGAGCTCTCAGCTGACATCTCTCTGGGCTTGTCTATGCTCAGGGGTCAGCGCGAGCCCTGACTCCCAGGACCCACTCACTCAGGCGCTACCATGAGTCAGTCCCGCAGACTGAAATTAAAATGTGAAAAGCTGTGCGACTGAAGGCATTCCTCGCCCCCCATGGCATTTTCCTTTCTTTGTGACAGTTCCTCTGAGACTGCTTTTTCTTTCATGTTTCTTTTTTTTCCCCTTTAGATTATTTAACAACATGCGAACAGAGCTGTCAAGGAGAGACATGCTTGATCGACAGAGCAAGGGAGTGTCTTAGTCAACATGGGGTTAAATTCGATTTTCTGCATGTTCAGTACGCTAGTCTCAAGCCAGTTATTGCCTTGGCTTGATGTTTTTTGATGGATCAATTATCCATTATAACATGTTGCGAAGCCAAACATAACGGCAACTATGACACCTGTCACAATCTTCTATTAGAGTAAGGAAATTGAAATAATTTAATGACAGCTAATTTAGTCTAGTCTTTGTTTTGAATCTCATTATGGCCGCAGTAATTGTGTTCTATAAAAAAACTGAAAGTGAAATGTGACTGCACACTCAAAGTAAAGTACCCCAACTAGAGCTATTAATTTGATATCTCTCAATGAAAACAGAAGTGAATAAATTGCACTTTATCAGATTCAGACAAACACAAGTTTGAAAAGACTATGAGATCTTGGAGATTTTTTTTTCTACTTTAAAGTCCAGTTTAGATTAAGTTGAAGTCGGAGATAACGCTGTAGAAAACAGAGACAAGGCAAACACAGCAAAGGCTCTATATTAAGCACATATAAACCAAGAACTGCTGTTAGAGAACAAATAGAATCATTTAACAATTGAGAAAAAATATGTAGAATATATATTTTATTACCCTTTAAAAATATATTTATATGTTGTTCTGGGTAACAGCAATATAAAACAATCTGTGTGACCCAGAGGTTTTCTGACACCCTCAGCAGTCTGAAATGTTAATGAAAATGTATTATCTATTTATTATCACCACATCATATTTAACATCGCACTGCCTAATAAGTCAAAGATATTACTTCAGATTGGGACAAAAGCGCAGAGAGCTGAATAGATGTGATATGCTTGTCAATAACACGTATGTGAGAAAGCTGCGTGGGAGCGTATTATCGGTACATGTGTGCATATACTTGAATTTGCAAGTAAAGAGCCTTATTGGGATTACCCACGGTACATTCTCGTTGGTATCATAAAGAGAAAGAGGGACTAGATGTGTCTCCTTTTTTTTTTTCAGGGATTCGGTAAGCTCTCTGTCAATGGTTTGGAGTTGAATTGCCCTGGATAGCTCCCCTCATTCCATGGAATGATCTCAGACCTAATTTACTGGGCAGCTCAGGATCCAAAGCATACAAGGCTCTCCTCTGCATAGAATGTGTGAAATAGATAGAGCAGCCATCCCTCAGATGTGCTGAAGTAATCTTCAGCCAGAGCTGGTCCAGCAGGCCTCACCCCTAAAGGGATTGATGCAGTGTCAAAACCTTTGGCTCAGGGGTCATCCTCTCTTCTTGCCTCCCCAATCTGACAAAAGCTGAATTTCTTTCCCTCACCATTCGTTTCTCTTTTTCTTCTATTGAATTCATCAGCGAGGGAGGCATGAGATGTGAGACGTGAATGAAACATTTTCATTAGAAGGGAGGAGAATCCCCGGTCAGAGACAAGGCCGGAGCTGATCTGAGCCAATGACATCCCCACCAATTCTTTCTTTCTTTTTTTTTTTTTTTGTCCTACTTACTTTCCCCAGCTGTCACTCTCTGCGGTATGTGGCAAGCTGATTGAAATCAGCACTGTGTCAGGGCCGTCATATCTCAGAAAGACATAAAACATGCAGAAACATCAATAAGCAACAGGCCGCTGACAGCTCTCAGGCACCGATGCCGGCGAGGAGAGATGAGGGGAAGGTTAGGACTCTGGGGGGATGCTGTGCAGTTGAAGTGTCTTCTTCAGGCTTCACTGAGACCCAGGGAAGACAAGATAAAGTCTATCAGGTTATCGCCTAGTTCAAGTTGCTTCTCGGACAGCAAGGCCACTGGGACGTTGGATGTCAGAGGATCTGTGCGTGTGTGTGCGAGCTTACGTGTGTGTACAGTAAGCGGGTGTTTCTGTGGGTCTGTGTATGTGCTCATGCAGGTGTACAGTATTTGGGGAAAGAGCAGAGACAGACATTGCACTTGCTACTAACTGCAAACCTAGCCTGATTAAAGAGAAAATCAGTTTTCACTGCATGGTGAAATGGTGCAATAAAATAAATGTAATTCACATGATATGCACAAGCTGTCAAATGAGTATTTTGAATTATATTTATTTGTTGTTGTATTTGTAAAATACCTGAAAATATTTTCCACTAAGACATTCCAGACGAGTCTTTTTTGTCATATGTGCTTGTAAAATAAGATTGATAATGCACTAGTTATACCAAGTAGTGAGGGCCTGGAGTTGCTTTGGGATTTTCAGTGTGTATTTAATTCACTAATGGGAGGTAAAGGTGATAGTCTGTTAGATCACAGTCTGACACTAACTCTTACCACTGCTAATTAGGCAAGTTTTTAGCCCAGAAAAACTGCTGAATCTCTTTTTTTCTCACACCTGATAATGGTCATCACAGTGCCCTAACCTGCCTGTTTAGAATTATGATACGGGACAAATAATCAGCTTTACAGGATCCTGACTTTGACGAGGTAAATTCACCAGTAATTATCATGGCACAGAAGTGGATGAAGGGAGCGGAGTTTTGGCTGAAGTTGAAGTTTCCCCAAAGTTGAAGCCTATTATTTTTGTGTTGATGGGTTAACGTTGTGGACAGGCGCCCATCTGCATATCAAATGTGACTCCCATTATTTTATGTTTCTCTCTGCTAACAGCGCCTCCCAGCACTCCTCCATGTTCTCCTCCATCTGCCTTCTCTCCATTGATCAGCCTTCCAGGGCATCAGTCTGTTTAACATCTGCTACAAGTTCCAGCAGCTCAGGTAACTATCTAGCTGCTCTCCACCGCCTATTGATCTTCATGTCCACCTGCAGGAACATCTGTTTCGGCATGTCGTTTGTCAACGCAACCAGATACCTTGTTTCGCTCCACGTCTTGTCCACTTTCACTCACTCTCACAAAGAGAATTTACACCTAAATGCTTGTTAAATTGGTGTTTACATTGTTCTAATAATGAATAGTAAATTTGTCACTCATAGTTATTGCATCTTGACAAATAGTGGGTGTAGTACTTGTTTAAATATTTAATCTTTATCTTTAAAGAACATTTACATTTTATATAAAAATATATATTTAATTACACATTTGTTATTTACAAAGACTCAGACATTTGGACAAGCTGCATAATCTACTGATCTTTAAGTTATTGCACTCAAAACATTTACTCTGCCTGATTATTATTTATACAGTACTCTTGATTAAGTATTATATTTTGCATTATAAATCTAAATAATTGCAAAATAGCATATTTGCAGAAAATCAAATTTAAACCAGATGACATGCAGAAAGCATTTTGCTATGTGGTTTGCTTTGTGCATGCAAACCACATAGCAAAATGCATTTTTTGAATAAAATAGATAAATTCTTTTGAATCACATCAAGCAAATGTGTTGTTAAATATGCTGTAAATTAAATTTTAAAAATAGCAGTAGTTCAGTGGTTTATATATTAAAAAAAAGACAACAGTACACATTTTATTTATTGTTTTAAATATTATTCTGGGGAGAAAGTGTGAGTGAGAGAGTCACGGGCCGAGAAGAGCTCGCATCTTCAAATTTGTCCCCTTCACAGGCTTCCTGAGCTCGGAGGAACCGCTGTTGCACAGTTTAATTTGCTCTTTTGTAATGATGGGGCGTAGGTTAGTTAATTTCAATTTTTGATTTCAAAAGCTATCAAATACAGCTCAGATGAGAAATCAATTTTCCCAGCTGCCCTGGCTTTGTGGTGAAAAGAACGCCCGCCATTGGTGAACAGCCCGTCACATGACCGAGTCAGGGATTAGTTCAGTAGGCCCATGTTGCCACCACCTCAATTACAGGCTGCCTCTTGTCATTTACCTCTATAACATCTCATTCTCAGACACAACTCATATTTAATTCATGAAAGCCTGCAGTAATTGTAATATAGATTGTTATAGAAAATTTGACCAAATTTAGACCGCAACTTTCTGTTTTGCGTGCCAACGGCAGTGATTGTGTCATTTGCTGTAATTTAGGATAAACAAAGATAAAACAATGAATGTCTAATTTTGTAATGACAAAAAAATATAAATGTAGAAAGTATATAATTTAAACATTGTGCAACTGTATCACACAGCAAGGTGTAGATATATTTGTTTAACAAAATGATACATTGCTTAAAAATGGCAATGAAGATTTTAATTGGAAAGGTAGTGTCCTGTGTTGTACACAATATGACAGTCATCAACACCACTATTAGGTCTGTCATGTGATCAGCCATCTGAAACGGTGACCCTTGGCAGTTTCACTGACAATAAGCACTCACCTTGTACTGTTTGAGTGTAGGCAGTGAATCGTCTTTCTGATTTACAGTTGATCGGCGTAACTAGCATTAAGATGATCACATCAATACCATATAACCTATCGTGTATTGATAAATCAAATATAAAGAGGAGACCTGTTTGTTCAAGCCATAGATTTCACAGTATTAGAGATATGTGCTGCATGAGGGCTATAGAAACAAACAATTTTCCTTAAAATAATTGTCAGGAATTCCTGTTTGATATTTGTGTCTAATTGTTGACACTACAAAAAGCTCAAAGCGTTTTGGACTGTGTGTGCGAGCGTATTTTACATTCTTATGATGCTTTGGTTTGGAAATTGAATCCATTCCAACATTTCTTTCTCTCAAACGAACCCTCTTTTCCTTTGCACAACACAAATTGACAATTTGTTCAGTAATCAAAGAATCTCCTTTTTATATGGATCAGTTCATGGAACAAAAAGTAGAGTGGAGGCAATTTCTGGACATATCATGAGATTATATCCGTTTGACAGTTGCGTTATTCTATGTGGTTTCCATGACAACTGGGTGAGGCCTCCAATAAAACCAACCTCAGCTGTCATCTCTTCACCTAAAAGCTTTGTAATTGCTCTCATTTGCATACTACAATTAAGTGTGTTAGCTCACAGCAAGAACAATCAACCTCCACTAAAGACTGGGGATAGTATAATTATTATATCAGTGGATTTGTATAAAACATTACTGACGAGCCTTTGTTTGACGTCGGCATTATGCTGTCAGGCTAGTTTTACCACTCATTTTTGCAAAATATACATATTACACAGACAGCGGGTAATGCATAGGCACCGCTTAAAATGTTGTCATTACCATTTTCAATCAGAGTTTCAGTCAAAGTATTTATTCCAGAAATTATCATTTAGGTTTCTGTCTGTCGGAGATATTTGTATCCATTTTTTTTATGGGAGGCTTTTTGACTCAGTGGTGCACTTGACTAGCTAGAAAGAGAATGATTTGCAGTAGTGGGAGACAGTTTGAACTGCTGATTAAATGGAAAGGTTATGTGCATTGGGCTCTAAGCATTGTTTCTCTTTCCCTCAGATGCGCAGAGGCTGTAATGAAGAGCTCTTGAACTCCCAGTCAGAGAAGCTGTGACAGGAGTTCAGGAGGATGCCTCTTTGGCTCTGCTGGAAGTACGAGACACACACACACACACACACACACACATACACGGTACACACTCAGGCACACATGCACCCAGAGACAGCAAAATGAAGCTGTCACTCATACATTGTTTCACAAATCACTAGCTTTTCATTTAGAGCGTTCAATGTCCAATCTTCCTACTGATATTGGAAAAATATCAAAATCTACCTCTGCGCTTCAGTTCTTTTATTTTCTGTTTTTCACTTAATATTATTTATTTTTGGGCGCAGCTGTGACATAAAATTAGAGGTTACAAACTTTATATGAGAAACGTCTTCATAGAAGCATAACTCAAGTTTGTGAACTATAAAAGCAGCCGTATTTCCAGCCTTCCGAGCTTTATTATCAAGCCTGTGATACTGCGGTACATCTTTGGGCAGGTACATTTCATTTAGAGTTTTTGCCTTCAGGCCCTAAATTGAAATGGAAGACCAAATGGCACAAATGGCAAGTGCACCATTCCTAGCTCTCTGCAGCCTCCCAACACAAACTGGTCAAGCAGAAATGAGACCTGCATCAATTTTAATTTGTATTTATCCTGCTGATGACCCGCTCCTTTCACTCTGCTGTTGGAGGCACAAATTACACCCATCATAACTCTGATTCTAACGGCCCACGGTGTGCTATCAGGAAATTAACATGGTTATATACCACCGGCGGGTTCAAGGTGTCACAACACAATTATACAATCATGCAACCTGACGAGCTCTGACTGGTCGCCGGTGTATGACAAGTAAGCTGGAGGGCTACACTGTCTGTCACATCCAGGCGGGTAAGATAAGTTCACTGAAGAGTAGACTGTGCCTCAGTGTCTGCTTCTCTCTATCTAAATCAGTTAAATATCACATGGCTGCTGCAGTCTCGGGTGATTTTTATTTTTTTTTGCTGGGGGGGGATAAAACCCACATCTGAACTTATCTTTGACTTGTCAGGTTTTTATTCAGCACAGCAAATTGAGCTGGCAGAATTTGTAAAAACACAAATCAGAGCGCTATAACATGGGTTGCCTGTATATCATTAATAGAATTAAGTCATCAGTGAGAGAAGTTTAATGTAAAACCTTATACATGCTGCAGTGCTGTGCAGCAGCTGACTGTGACTTTCAATCAACCCTAATCCTTGTATCTCATAAAACTTAGACCAAAAAAATGAAGGGAAGCTCCCCTGCCTGGATCCCCAGTGTGCTCTCAGTGTCAAGCCATTAGGCTGTGTGAAATGAGGTGCCACTCATGAGTTATAATGCTGCACATCTATAGATGCAATGGTAAAATATAGCCCTTCAATGCTCAGTTCTCTGCTGGAGTTGGGAAAATAATTCTGCTCTGATAGTGGTCCATCCCGCAATATCCCAATTCAAAGTCACAAAGATATGAAGAGGGCTGTTGGATAAATTCAAAATAATCCACTTCAGGATAGCTGTGGGATTAATGGAAAAAAAAATGTGTGTGTTTGCTTGTGTGTGCACGAGCAAATGTGCGTCTATGTGAGAATGACGACTGATGAATAAAATATATCAGAAACCAGTGTAGTGCCAAAAACTTTTACATACTGTAGGATGATATTACTAATAAGATTATCGACCTTGCCGATGAAAAGAAATGAGACACAGAGGAATAAGGAAAACGACAGCAAAGTATTCCTAAAGAGTCATGAGAAGCGGTGGATATAAGCTTTCAGGAAATCTATTTGCGGGGTAAAGCATGTTCATTCTATCCAATTTTAAAGCACGTCAATAGAAGACGCACGTTTTTTAACCAGTTGTTACAGAACTACAATCAATGAAAGTTATACTGAGTCCTGCTATACTTAGAGGCACACAACAAAAGCAGGCTAGCAGCAGCCTGCTCTACTGAAATATTTACCCAGAGGTACTGTAGATGTAACAATGATAGGAAATAAAGCTAATAAGTGTCACTTTGATGTGACAACAAATTATACATGGTTCTATCAGATCTCATTTCCATTCCACAACACAGAGACAGAGAATACCCTGAAGCATGGCTGTTAATGGGAGCCTCTATCAGCCATCGTGGAAAGCCTGCCTCATTACTCACTCCAACACAACTGTGCCCAGGGTGGTCGATTTCCCCAACGGACACTGGTTCACAGACCAGAGACGCACTGTGCTGCATATGACTTGTTTTTCAATGCGCGGGGCACAGATGCCGTCATGCTGCAAGTGTGCGAAATCGTTTTTATCAGGAAATTGATTTAATCAAAACATTTTTTTTTTAATTAAAGAGAAGCAACCACATAAAAAAGAAAAAATAATGGGGTTATCAATTTTTTTATTTTTTTTATTTGTGTCAAACTTACAAAATTATTGGTCTGATAAATGTATAGTTGATTCTTTTCCAGACTACAGAAAATTGCCTTGTGTAGCTATAACCAGCTACCACTCATCTTCGTTTTCATTATGTCTGATTCTATACAACCTGATTGTTATTCAGAGAGAATTTTCCATTCGGGAGGGCACCAAATACTCACGTAACCTTCTATCCCTTCCAACCTGTGCAATGAATATTTTAAAACTTTAATGTACAGTATATTGGCCATCTGAATTTTCAGCCCAAGTCTGTCTTTATTCCATATAATCTCAGAGATGCAGTACCTACTATTGTGGTTGTAACTGAGCATGCTGGCACTGTCTTCACAATTTGCAATCACTGATGCTCTCTGGTTTTACTCCCTCTACCCCTGTTTCTAGCTTCCCTGACAAAGTCAATAGGGGGCATCCCTCATCTGTCAAAAACAAACATCAGAATACTCGTGATTTTTTTCTTCTTTTCTTGTTTCCCTCTTTTTGTGGACTCTCTCTCTCGCTGCCTGTTAGACGTACTGTAGATAGAGTTTGTCACTCATTGCAGATTATGAGATTATTAGATGGATTGCTTGGCGACCCCAATAAACATAAGCAAGTAAGAGCAGTCAAAACGGATAAGGGAGAAAGTCCTGAAGAAGTAACTGACCCTCTGGTGACTCTCTCACCCAGAGGGGTGGCAGCAGCGCTTGCTGTGTGTGTTTCAGTGCAATCTGTGGAGCAGATGGCTGGAGTCCTGGGCAGAGAGCAGCAGGTCTCAGCCTGCATGTCACCAGGATGATGTGAGCTGGCTCCCTCCGAGCTTTAGTTAATACCTTCCTGTATCACAGACTTGTTAAGGGTCTGGGCAAAACTCTACACAAAAGAAGTCTCTCCTCTGTTTTGCTCTCTCTCTCTCTCCTTGTGTCGCCTCTCCTGGGTGGTAGTAAATGTTTACTGGTAAGTATTGTCCTTAACCTCTCTGCCCATATATAAATATATATAATAAATATCAATACAAATGCACATATATGTATATATGTGTGTGTGTGTAAAATAAAATCTTATATCACCACATGTGTAAACTGTGGTATTAATATACAGTATATCATAATATAGGAGATATTGTGTACATTTAATTCAGAAACTGTTTATGGATAAAAATACCAGATGTTGATATCTGTTTTTTGGCTAACTGAACTAATTAATGACCCGACACATTATATAAAAATCTAATACTGTCACAATAGAGTCATTCTCAGTGATTTCTAACATCCCCTCCTAATACATCCAGGAATCGGAAGTGATTGATTAATATGACACAGATGAAAGATGTAAAGTAATTTGAATTGCCTGAATAGCATACCCTCAAACTTCAATGTCAAAGAGTAATTATGGACATTAGTGTTTCTCTATTATAAGATAATGTCCCTGACTAAGTGATTTTACATTGACTTTGACTGAGAAGCTTCTGGTTATGATGAAATAATTAAAGCAAAATCACTGGCAACATAAAAATAAACATTTGCTTATCTATTGTTCACCCAGCTCTCCCTCTGCCACTTACTGTAGGCTTTAATCTTGGTTACTGGTAGGTAGAGCAGGCAAGGCCATGCCTTGTGAGGTGCAAGTGGTGGTGCCTCTCCTCCTCTCTCTCCGTCTCTCTCTCCTCATATTATATAAAGAGTGGCAGCAGGCAGAGTGACAGACTGCCCCAAGAGATGACACCTGTCACTGAGGGGAGTGCTGCTAATCTACAAGCCTCATTTTGTTTGAACTCTTTGTCACCTTGCCGTCAAATCCTCATCTTCTCAGTCACTGCCAGCTTCACTCCCCTCTGCTTCTCTGCTCACTCTGCTTTGCCCAATCTCTCCACAATACACCTCCACCATCACCACACAGAGCATGCTCTTCCAGGCATACCAGTGTTCTCTAGTGTAACATATTGCTGCCTATACAAACATGTATCTGTTGAAGGAGTATTGCTCATTCTTGTATTTTTTGTCCTTTATTTTGGATTTATAAATAGATACGTAGTGAGTACTTTTTGACTAAGTAAAAAAACAGTAAAACGTCGGCAGCTCAGACGTGTAAAATTGCTTATGTGCCCCCAGCGTATGAGAAGATGATGCGTCCTTGTTGAAATGTTTTTATTTTCTGAACAAAGCCCCATTCATTCATATTGAGATTTGTCTAAGTTAAAGTGATCTGAATAGAAATGCAGTCTGGAGTGGCCCAGTCTCTATGGAGCAGCACACTCCACCCCCTGGCCAAATATCTATATTGTCCACTTCTACAGACTGTGCTTTGTAATTATAATATAATTCATTATGTCTATGCTGCATGTGTCACAAAGGAGGAGTCCTCCCCAAAATCCTCCTGTGCTGTTCAGGCTGACCGAACACATTCTTGTTCCTATTTTAAAGCCTGCGGCTTGGAAATACCCTCTCACACCCCCATAAACAATAGATTTTCCTATTTTGCTTAATTGAGATATCACCCCGCAAATCTGACAGCTCACACCAGCCCCTAACTCCGGCTGAGGGAAATCTATATAGTGACAGGAAATGGAAAGGAAAGAGCCAAATAAGATTAAATAATAATAATAATAATAATAATAATAATAATAATAATAATTAATATGCCTCATTAGATACCTCACAGAATGTAGAAAATTTCACTATCAAA